CACTCTTTGCACTACAAAAATTTCTTCTCTCAGTTACTTGAGTCGCTGCTTTGTGATGTTTTCATCTGTGTCAATGACAAACATTGTGATGAAATTGAGCAAAATAAAGCAGGAAACTATATCTTTACTTTTTTACGATGTCTAGTGGCAGCCACCCCGGTTGTTAAGGATGAAGCGTTAATCCCAATTACGAGAGCAATACTAAGCGAGATAAAACTAGAAAATCGCAGTCCAAGCAAACATATGCGTACTGGTTTAACTTGAATGTGATAGTTACGTCAACTTGCAGTTGTGGATGTGCATAAATATGTATTAATAATTTAGAAATTATGGTTATGATATCGAACCAGAACCATTCCATTTGGTTCCATAATTACAAATGGATTATTTTCAAACTAAATCGTTTAAATCAGTTTATTGAAAATTTCAAATCAAATCGAACTAATTTTTATGGTTCGATTGAAGGGATATAATGAAGAATTAATATAAAAAATGAATCTGACATGTATTCCAAGGTAATATTCAAGGAATCAAACTATTTAAAGTATCTCCAACTTGAAATAAAATTTAAGTTCAATAATTAATTAATTATTCATTTAGGTGAAATCAAATTGAGCGGCCATGTTTACAAGTACAGCAACCTCTTCCGACCTGCAGGGAGCTGCTTTTCAAAAATGGGAGAGTACACATCTTACCTGTTAAATAAAAGAAAGATGCCAGGCTGACAAGGATTTTGGACCAGCAATCGCCCCCCTATTCCTGTCCAATTCCCTGTCCAAAAAAGCAAACTGCAAAACCTAAACGATTGTGTTAAATGTTAGTTTTGGTTCATGTGAACCATCAACATTTTGGTTTAAGTTTCAATAATTAAAAATCATTTATAGTCCAATCAAACCATTGACATAATAAAAAAAGATGGATAGACTATATATTATAGGAATTTACTTGTCATGGAACTCATGGGATGTATCTTTTTAGTTTAAATATAGAATATAATCATGTATACGGTTGATTCTTCATCGTATCTTTATTGTCTTTGACATGGTAAGAATGGTAAAGTATGCGAGTTTATGTAAATTTTATTTTCCAAATGCTAATTCTAAGTTTAATGCTTGTATATTTATGTTTTTTTGCAATGTAATATTGATGTCGTAAAGTGTCTAAAAAGTGTTAATTTTATGTATATATTATATCAAAATTTATTTTTTTCTCTTTTTTTTCAACCACACATTCTTTAATAAAATAATATTACGCTAAACGGAAAAAAAAATTCATTATTTTTTAACTACACATTCTTCAGAAAAATCATTATTCTAAAATCCATTTTTTCCCCAAAATCTCATTAAAATGGATGCCAAACAAAGGCAGAGTTTTACCACTTTCAGAGCAATCACATCAATCATTCTGTATAATGTACTCTGTGCAACTTGGCCAAAGCAAGGATTGCAGAAGAAGTCCATCGCTTCAAATTTGCACTACAGCGGAGAGGTGATGCATAGCCTCTAATAAAAATTATTCAATTAAGGCGACTAAGGCCAAGACCTAATCGCCATGGACTAGGTCTGTAGAAGAGGCAAGGTATAATGGAGTACTTATCTTATATGACTTTAAGGTTATAATCAACTATAGGTCAACAGTTAGGATTTCTTAACTAAATAAAAGGAGATCCGAAATTTGCCGTATGCTATTATGAAGATCATGCATGTATTTTTCAAAATTGGAAGAATTCATTACAGTATGTTTTTGTTCCGTCAACATTTCTTAATAAATGGAACATATATATTAAGAGTTATACTCACTGGCATGACAATAGTCTATTCTTTTATAATTAAATAGCAGTTTGATTTCTTTTTAGTCTTATTTTAAAATTTTAATACGAAATTGCATGTTAACTCGTATAATTTAAAGAAAGCTTTTGGTAACGATTCATATTCATTTTATCCTAAGAAAATGGGTGATTACAAGAAAGCAGGTTAATAGGCTGCAATAATGAAGCCTGAAGATTGATTTGGTTCAAAACTAAAGCATGCTTTATTTGCAAGATATGCTCAGATACCAAACAAGGCTAAGGCTCTATGCTTGAACAAAAAATTGAATATTTCAGTTTTTAGGGCTGAATATATTACAGTAAAATTCCATCCCAAATAAAACAAGTTAACATGCTTAAAAAAAGTTTAAAAAGCACAAAAAAAAAAAAAGGCATCAAACACAAAGATACTTGATGCCTAAATACTCGAAGTTCGATTTTTTTTCATATTTGAAATAAATGGAATGAAACTTTCAGCTTCAACTTAATAGATGTAGATTTGATACACATCAGTCCTGCACTTCAATAGCATCATGTTCTCCATTGGATTGTTGCGTCGATAATTCGTTACTTGAAGTTGGGATCTCTGGATTTTCGTTGTTTTGCTCGAAAAAAGCTTGCCACTCTTCAATATAAGCTATTTTATCGGGATCTAGGCTTGGCAGCTCACGTTGCTGAAGAATTTCAAGAATTTCTTCTGTTTCACCAAGAAGTAGAGCAGCTTGACGAACACAATTTTTCCTTTCCTTTGCAGAATTATGTTGACTGTTCATAGTTATAACATGGGGTAAATTGGTAAGGCATGCTGCCAATATATCCGCAATCATTAGGGATAAATGGTCAAAAAGTCCATCTGTTTGGTAACTGTCATAGGCCAGTAAAATAGTTCGACTAATTCGGTACATTGAGTTTGCAGCTATAATCCTAACCGGCCAATTCGGAGGGTTCACCATGAAGAGATCGTTCATGTCTCTGAGGAACTGCATAACAGTCGTTTCGGCTACATTGGAAAGCTCTTCTAGTGTCTCCTTAGAGGTTCTGCCTTGGGCATTTGATTTGCAGAGATCCTTATCTTGCCATTTACGATATAATTCAACTCCCATCCATACGATATCTGCTGCATTTCTAATGTTTACCAGAGCTCCATTTCTATACAGGGCCTTTTCTATTACTTTTAACAAGGAAAGGCCTTCACCGACAGACCTCAATAACTGATTACCCCTATAACTTGGGATGTTGGGAAGTGCAATGGCGATGCACGTAAGGGTTACCACAGGTAGAGACCAGCAATTCGAAGGCTCCTGGGAATGTAAACTTGGAACGTGATTACTGTCAAATTCTCTCACCCCATTAAAGTTGTTAGATTTACTTAGAAGTTTAATCAGGTTCTTGGGCTGCTGTCTTTTACCTGTTTGGATAAGCTTGTCCACCTCATTCCAGATGTTTTTTACGGTCTTTTTTGGCAGTTGTACTTCTCCTTCAAGTAGCAAGACATAACGGGTAAGATCTAGTTCGGAATCAATGCTTGATTCTGATCCTTTTTTGTTGCAAGAGGCATTTACAGCAAATATCATCAACCAACCGATGAGGTGGAAAGATGAGGCAGAAACAACAATTACAAGTTTGCTCACCGAAACAATTAGAATCTGTATTCCAATGCAGAGATTAAGAATTAGTCTTATTGCTGCATGAAGAAGCTTTTTGCCTCTGGGGTGTCGAACTTGTAAAGGTAATGGTCTTTCTTTCCAGTCCACCAGTCTCTGAATCCAATAATTCTCGATTTTGAATTCACTTTTGAAGCTTTTACTGGCTAGTTCTGAACGCTTGAAGCTTGCAGCAGTGAACCATCTGAAGGCAGGGGCAATAGTTCCAATGAAAACTCCGATAAACTGAGTAGCTAGAATCCATTTAATTGACCACTTATAGGTGGAAGTATGCTTCGAGAATTCTCCGGGCCAAAACAATTGTTGAATATGAGCTTCTACCAAAAAGATAGCAGTGAACACACAAATCAAACCTGAAGCAGTGCAAGTCACAGAACGTGCCAATACGAACTCGGGACTCCCTGTTGCTGCCATTATCCAATATTTTTTCACCACTACTCTCAATTTGTCCACTGTAACATTTGCCCCTTCCATTCTTTCTTCATTGGAAGCTATTCTGTGCATTTCCTGGTACTTGGATTCTATGTAACTTCTGTAAGTTGGAACCATCAAAGTCGAAGAACAAAATATAACAAGCGAAAGAAACATAAAACTAATTGCTACAATTTCTCGATTTTCACCCACTACTGCTGGATCATGAAAACTATGTATGATTTGGCGAAGGTGGATATAAACATTGACGATTACGGTAATTACCAGAATCCCCAAAGCAGTTAGGTTCAGTAGAATCTCATTATCGTCCATGGATCCCAAAGATGTCATAAAATTAGCCATAGCAGTTGACATAAAAAAGAGGCTACTAAGCCGTGCAAGCTTATCGAATTTTCCCAACATAGATTCTGTAAAATCCATTGGCAATTTCATTGCCACAGTCAATAGCGTCAAAGAAGCTGCATTGAGAGAGAAGTACTTACATGGGATCCACAACATTTTGTTCCTAATCCCGTGGAAGGCGTCAGCAGCCATTGCAAGGGAGCAAACTGCAGAAGCTGCTGCAATATATATTCCAATCCATGGCATCGGCGAATCCAGGTTTTCTTGTATATAACGGTCAGAATCACAGGAGTAAACTGCACACATCCATACTATAACATCCCGTACTGCAGTTTGATGAATCCATCAACTTATTCAATTATTTCCCAATAGCCTTCTATCTTGTAATCCTTTGTTTTTCTCCAGTCATTGATATCGTGTTCCTCCATCAAAAAATACCAATAATTTTGTCAGAGTCAAATAAAAAGATGACTTGCAAGGTCGTGATTTCAGGAGAAAACAAAATACCGTTTCTGGAGGGAGGGAATAAAATAAAAACCTCTCTCCTGGATATCAAAAAATATATATATAAAATATAAAAAAATCTTCTAGAAACAGAAATTTTGGCAATATTTTATAAGCCTGTCTAAGATTTATGCATACTTTAAACTATTTTCATTTTCTTAAGAAAATACGTGCATTCTACTTGGCAAAGGGGGAGTATTGATGGAAAATGAAGTCTTCAAAAATTAATTATCTCTTTTGGATTATTAAAATGGATTATTAGAAGAGTGAAAGCTTCATTTGTGGAAAAACTTCCTCAATTTCCATAATGAAAGATAAGAAAATTCTCAACATCCAATATAATAATTTTTCCAATATCATAGTCAAGCAAAATTCGTTTTATTATTGGAAAACGTGAAGTTCATAATGGTAAGATGAGCACCACTCCCTTGGGATAAAACCCCAATCAACACGTTAACCATAACTTAACAGAATAATTTTCTGAACGATTTTAACCTACCACAATTCAATTATTT